ACTGAAGATGAGATCGGGTATCAGGCTTGAAAACAGGAGGATTTTTGAAAGTAAAAGTCTGAGCAGGAAACAGCTAGACCTGCTGCTCTCCTCTGCCACCCTTAGAAGAGATAGGAGATTTATTCTCTGACAAAGACCTAGAATGGTTTTGAACTCAAGGACCCCAAGAGTAGAGCAGGAAAGGGGTGAGGCACTGAAAATAGAGATTGCGTCAGTATTTATTTACTGACCAGGGAACCCCTCCACACACACAAACCCCAGCTCCCTTTCCCTGTACAGTTTTTAGACCTCCAGTAGCCAGTTTATGCTGTAGGCAAGAGATGGAGGAGGGTAATTCTTAGCAAGAACTCAACTTTCCCAAAAAAGAAGCTGGACTTTGGTGCACTGGGCCATCACCAGACAATGTGGCCCACATGAAAATAGTGCCCCCCACCACACAAAGCTGCTCAGACATCATTTAGTTGCCTTATTTACAAATACAAACAGACACCGAGGATCAGCAGTCACCGGAGGAAAGCCTCCAGCAGGAAAGATATTTGAAGAAAAAAAGAAGCAGCATCCATTCAAACAGCACCCCCACAAACACTTACCAAAACCTGTAATCAATATCCTCAGAGAGGTTAGAGAAGATGTTATGTCTATAAAACAAGAGCAGTATGCTGTTGAAGAGAAGAATAAGACCTCCTGAAAAATAAAAATATGATTTAAAGTTTTTTTAATTCATAGAAAGTTTGGAAGATAAAGTTAAGAAATCTTACAGAAAGTTGGAGAAAAGATAAAGTGATGGGTATGAGGGGAGATGAGATAATAAAATTAGAATATCAATCCAAAAGATCCAATATCTCATTAATGGGAAATCAGGAAAAGAATAGAGAAAATACAGAGGAAATTATCAAAGAAATAATACAAAAAAAAAACTTTCTGAGAGACGGATTGGAAAGGTCGATAGAGGACCCAATAAAAACCATGCCATGATGAAATGTAAGCCTACCACACAAAGGGAAGGAAAAGATTCTGTAAGAATAACATTTCATTTGCCAACAACACTGCAAGTTGGAAGACAAAGGAGCAGTGCTTTCAAAATACTAAGTAAAAATTGTTGCTTAAAAAATTGTTGATCAGATTATTGATCAAGTGTACAATAAGAATAGTTTCAGACATTCAAAGTCTCAAAATAATTTACCTCCTATACACCCTCCTTCGGGAAATTACTAGAGAAAGTACTCCACCCAGACAGGAGAGTGAAGAGAGAGGGGTGAAGACATAGGACCCAGGAAGGAGTGGCAAGGGGAATCCCCAGACCTGGGGAGCAGCTGGTCCAGACTGGAGCCAAAGGCTGAAGGGAACATAATGGAAATTACATCATCTGATTGATTGCACCACATGGAAATTTCGCTTAGAGACTGTCAGGTGGTGCGAAAAGACCTACAAAGAGAAATTAAGAAAACAAAGAAAAAGGGCAAGGAGGCCATTGATTCCAGGAGAAGCAAAAATGTATTCAAGAATGTGGTAATAGTATATTATTTAGCTCATCAATAATATATTATGAGCAAAGTGATATGAGCACTGAATATTGCTTTAACCAAAATTATGATATTGGGAAAATGGAAGAGAGCATAAGTCTCATCTAGTCCAATAGTATACCAATAAATAATGTCTAAACTTGATTAATCAAAAGATAGCAGTATAAGCATTTAATTTAGAAATCAGAGGATAAGAAACAGCTACAAGAATTATAAGTGCCTCTGGGTAGTAAGTAGGGGCAAAGGATGAGGACAGAGAAATAGAATGAACAGCTTTCTTCATTTAAGAGCCTTTCAGTACTATTGGATTCTTAAACCATGTGTGTGTCATAATTTTTTTAATTAAGAAAAAGAGCACTCTCTGAAGTCACAAAGGTTTGGATTTGAATCTTGGAGCAATCGTGTTGCTACCTGTGTGACTTTGGCAAAGTGTTTTAACCCTCACAGGCTTCGTTTTTTTTTTTTTTTTTCAATTGTCATATAAAGCGAATGCTTTATTACCATTCACATTTTTAAATGTTTTTATTAAACTTAGTGGGGTGACATAAGACAGTACAGGTCAAATGTCTGGCACGTAGTAAAGCCCTCAAAGTTTTTTGCTTCCTCTAAGTACCCGGTACCCTATATTCCTCTCTGGATACCCTCACACCCTTCACCAGTCACCAAATCCCAGTGTGGACTTAAGTCCCTCCAGGTGTGTTTGCATGTTGCAGCTTACCTCCAAAGTGGAAGGAATACAAGGTTTGATCCTTATTTTAAAAAACTGAGCCAGGTGACCCTTGACCTAAAATACGGGTAGTTCTTTTGAGGAGGGGCTTTGGTGATGTGAAAACACCATTTCTCCTCTGGGAAAGGAAACTCAAGTCATAGCTGATACTCCCAGCCACTGGGAGTGAAAGCCTGCTTGAGATCCAGCCACCTCAGAAGGCTCCGGGATCTGGTGGTTTGTGTCCACAAACATTTCCAGCCTAGAGCTTTAATCCCTTCTGCTGATGTAATAAGATCCCTTGGTTTACAGTGAAAACTGAGCCCGCAGTATTGTGCCTATGACCCAGCTACCTGCCACCCACAGCTACACCTGTGAGGCTGGCCCACTTCCCACACCCAGGGCACCTGCAGCCTCCTGCACCCTCCGCCCTGCCTTTGTGCTGTTGCACAGGGAAGTCGAGGGTTTCCTGGTGGAAGTTACTTCTCTTGCTGCAGGGATTGCACTATATGCAAGGCCCAGGCCCCAGTACTGTGGATGACATAGAAATATGCTTGGCCTCAAAGGCATTTACTATCGAACAGGAGAGACAGATAGATAAGATGGTCAGCACCCATTAGACAAAATGAGCTAACAGGGTGATTGTGGGCTGCATGTGGAATAAGGAGGGTCTTGGGTTTACACATGGGAATGCCACTTAGGAGCTTCTCACACAGAACTGGGAGCAGGTAAGCCCCAGGTCAGTTAGTTACTTTTAAGCAAAAGTAAGTGTTCTTCAAATACATATGATGCTTTATTCCTAGAGTGGCAGTGAGGGTCAGCAGTGGTGGGGGCTGAGGGTGCTTCCTGAAAAGCTGACAGTTGTTACCAAGAACAACAACTTATGGACAGACAAGGTGACCATACAATTCATCATCCAAACAGAGACCCTCGAGAGTTCGAGGAGTGCAAAAGCACATCCGGACCACAGGCATGGCAAACCAGACATATGGTCTTATCACTGAGAGGTACTTAGTAATTATAAAAGGGAGTAGATTCAGCGACCTATGGACCGAGGGCTCATGCAGGTCCAAAAGGCTTTTCAGGTAACTCTCCAACACTCCCCCAGTAGATTGTAAGTGCCTTTGAGGCTAAATATACTTCTGTTAGTATCCACAGTGCCTGCCACGGATCTGTATACATTTCTTCCTCAGTAGCATTGCTTAAGGGGTCCAGGCTTTACCAGTAGCCAGTGTCTGTCCACCCCTCTGGTTGGGATTCCTGAAAGAGTTTCACCACCTGAGTTTCAACCAAGAAAATACTCAAAATTAACTGCGTATGTGCTGCTCCCCTGGTCCCTTGGCTCCTCCCACATGGAAACCAGTCCGAGGTCTGTTTTGCTTTGGTTGATGACTGCCCTATCCAACGCCCTCCCCTTTATGGGAGAACGGCCATTCTCTCTCTTTGAACATTTATCTTCGAAGAGGGACTCTGATTCCTAAACCACAGCACAGTGGGTTCACAGATAGCAAATAATATATACTCTTTAGAGCATTTGCTCTTTTTTTTTTTTTCAGATTTTATTTATTTATTTATTTATTTATTTATAGAGAGGGAAGGGAGGGAGGGAGAGAGAAACATCAATGTGCAGTTGCTGGAGGTCATGGCCTGCAACCCAGGCATGTACCCTGACTGGGAATCGAACCTGTGACACTTTGGTTCGCAGCCCGCACTCAATCCACTGAGCTATGCCAGGCAGGGCAGCATTTGCTCTTTTAAGCAAACAGCTGTTCAATAAAACTAATGTAAACTTGTTGTTTGAGGACAGTCCTAGTTACCTAGCAGTTTTACCCCATTCTATGTGGTTTTCTGTTAAAGATTATAGAGTTACCAAACTTGCCAGTTAAAATTATACTTATTTATTTACCTGGCTCTCCCCCCAGGCCGTGATCTCCTTGAGGACATCAATTGCCTTATTAATATAAAAGATCATTGAAATGACCATAGGGTTAGACATATTTGCAGAGGCCCCACAAAGGTTATGGTTGAATGGAACACAAGCCAGTCTTAATCCCACCTCTCCCGCTGACACAAGCTCTGCTTTAGTTCTCACACTCAGAACAGCTTTTCCTTTGTGATTTTTATTTACAGCCAAGCACACTCCTCCCAGGCCACCTGAGGCCATTGGGGACCGGGTTCCTCCCACTCTTCCCTTCCCGTCTCAGCAGGACAAGTTTCATTGGCTGAGTCTGTTAAATGAGGAGATGATCAAGATGCTTCTTTTCAGCTTCTCAGGCCCTCACATTATTGCTATTTACGGCTTTCTGGGAAATGATTCTGTCTTTCTCTTTGGACCGTGTTCCCAGTTTTCTTCTTCCTTGTCAGATGAGAATCGTTACTTCAAATTGTTTTAGTCTCTGGCAGATCTTTGCCATGTGGCTCCTCCTTTCCAGCAATTCAGTGAGATTCACTAGTTTCCTCAATAAAACGATGTATACACTGTTCTAGCTTCAGGTTGGATACGGATTAAATGTTGGCATCAGTTAGCTGTGTCAAATTGTCTCACCTTGCCTCTTAAAAACCAAAATGGGAGAATCCGACAGCTACCTGTTGGCCCATACTGTGTGCATTGGGGTGAAATGGAGGAGTTCCATATGTGGGTAACAGAAAAGGTGTGCACTAAGGTGAATCTGTAACCAACACAAATATATAGAAACATAAAAGCAATTGTTAATATGTAAGTACAGTCTCTAGAGATATTTCCATGCGGTGTCCTTCTCTTCCTACAACAGAAACCAAACGATCGTGATCACAAAGTGAGACTAGCATTAGGCAATGGCTTGCGAGGAGATGTGTGGAGAGAATTCATCAAGAGATTTGGGGACATTCACATTTCTGAGTTCTATGCTGCTACTGAAGGCAATGTCAGCTTTGTGAATTATACAGGAAAGATTGGTGCTGTTGGAAGAATAAACTACCTACAAAAAGTAAGTACATTGAAAAATGAGAGCGTATATTGCCAGTTTTCAGAATAGAGATTTCTTAAAAGCTATGTCATCATAATGTTATTATCAGAATTTCACAAAGCATCAGAGCTGTGGTCCATCCATAATCACCATGAGAGGTTTTTCTCAGTCTCTGTAACAAGGACCTCAATAAGATAGGTTGCTCTAATTTGGAAATCTTAATTTCAGTGATTAGCAATCCATTATGCCTTTGCCATCTGCAATTCAGGTAAAGTATTCATGATGTCATTTATACTTGCATATGATAAAACACCTGAAGGTTACCAGTTGCATAATTGTACTGTACTCTGTGAAATGGTAAAATATGGTATTTACTTTGCTTTCTTTTTTTTTTCAAATTATAAGAGAAAGTTTGTTTAGAAAGTTACAGAGGTCATAGTAGTGAGACAGCTGGGCTGTGTAGGTTCAGGAAACAAGCTACACAAGCAGGAGAAGGGCCCTCGGAGCTTAGGAGAGAGAAAGGCAAGGGTAACGCACCTGAGGGGAAGAAGAGGAGGAGGGGAAAGGCGTGGGCGTGCTCCAAGAGGGACTGTGCTATTGGGTCCTTCCTCTTGAGGGTTTTAAAGGCTGGAAGTTTAAGGGAGGTCTTAGGGGAGGATTCAATAGAATATTTGTGAGCTTTATGCTGTGGTGTTAAAATGAGATTTTTTCCCCCTGACTTCCATCCTTGGGTGTGGTTGACACTAATTGAATTTCTTTTATCTATCTCCCAGAGTAGGGTAATTTAAGCTATTTACCCTCTGAATGGGAGGAGAAGTGTAAACCATTTACTCTTAAGTGTCCTTGGTTAGGGAATCTAGGATTCTACTATTTACTAGATGGTTGTAAACTGCTTGGCCATTTAACTATCTGTCCCAGTTTCCCTATTCCACTTGTCCTGGCTTACTAGCCTGTCTCATTCCCTGCTCAGAGACTTCCATCCCTGGAATCTTTTAGAGAAAATGAGGGAAGACAGTTAGTCTTCAGTACCTGCTTCTTCCTCACAAGGACCACGGTTCCTGCCTGTGCAGGGTATGGAAGTCTCTCCCTGCCTGATCTAAGGAGGGACAAGGGTGCGGAACCCAAGACTGGAACAGAGAGGCTGTTAGCTGATTCTTCCAAACTAGGGATGGGAGGGAATCCCTGAAGCAAGATCATCATGATAAGGAATTGTTGTATCCAGAAACAAAATTGGTAAATTGCTCCATATTTTACTGACTTAATTACATGGTCCTAAAAGTAAGTCAGTTCAGTCAAATTGTTGAGTCTCATTTCAGGAGGTATTGATGCAGATGGGCTCCCAAAGTGAAAATCTATATTGTGTAAATAAGCAGTTGAGTATTTAATAAGAGGTATGCCTATGAAAACAGAAGGAAAAAGATAAAGGTTAATGATTAGAGGAAATTGCAAACCAGTTTCTGAGTATATAAGGCTATCAATTGAACAGATCAATAGCTTGTAGACCCCCTGGGGCACAAAGGTTGAATTGCTTTTAGACCTTCTGGAGTCCCTAGGTCATGCATTCCAGTTCCTGGAATAATGCTTTCTACAAACATAAATCACTTAATCCTATCAACTATAACTACAGCTAAAACCTTTAACTCTGGAGTTCCCCCATCATATTGTATTCTGTGTTCACCACCTCAAGTCATGTCTCTGTCACCATTTATCCCCGCTTTACCCTCGCCTGCCTCCCCCCACCCCCATTTCCCTCTGATAATGACCATACTGTTGTCTCTCTGTGAAATTTTTGGGTTTGAGGTTATTTGGGTGTTTTTTGTTTGTTTTTTGCTTAATCCCTTCAGCTTTTTTTTTTTTTACACAGCCCCCAGATCCTCTCCCCTTTGACAGCTATGAGTTTATTGGTGTTTTGTTAGGGTATTTTGTTCATTAAATTCCACATACAAGTGAAATTATATGGTACTGTACTTGTCTTTCTCTGACTGACTTGTTTCATTTAGCATAATGTTCTCCAGGTCTATCCACACTGTCATAAAAGTACAACCTCCTTCTTTTTTACCACTGAGTAGTACTCCATTGTGTTAATGTGCCACAGCTTTTTTATCCACTCATCCACTGATGGGCAGTTGGGCTGCTTCCATATCTGGGCTATTGTAAATAATGCTGCAATGAAACTAGAGGTACATATATTCTTTTAAATTAGTGTATCAGATTTCTTTAGATATATTTCAAAAGTGGAATTGCTAGGTCATAAGGCAGTTCCATTTGTAATTTTTTGAGGTAACTCCATACCATACCGTTTTCCACAGTGCCTACACAAATCTGCATTCTGACCAAAAATGCACAAGTGTTCCCTTTTTTCCACATCCTCACCAAAACTTGTTGTTTATTGATTTATTGATGATAGCCATTCTGACAGGTATGAGGTGATATCTCACTATGGTTTTAACTTGCAATCCTCTGATGATTAGTGATATTGAGAATCTTTTCATATGTCTATTGGCCATTTGTATGTCCTCTTTGGAGAAGTGTATACTCAGATCCTGCCCTTTTTTAAATTGGATTTTTTGGTTTGCTTTTTTTTGGTATTATGTAAGTTCTTTGTAAATTTTGGATATTAACCCCTTAGCATATTGACGAATATGTTTTCATATTCAGTTGGTTTTGTTTTCATTTTGTTGATGGTTTCATTTGCTGTACAAAACCTTTTTAGTTTGATGTAGTCCTATTGGTTTTCCTTGCCTAAGGTGATTTATCAGAAAAATATACTGCTACAAGAAATGTCTGAGACTGCCTATGTTTTCTTCTAGGATTTTTATGGTTTCAAGTCTAACATTTAAGTCTTTAGTGCATGTTAAGTGTGTGATGGTGTCCTAGTTTCATTTTTTTGTATGTATCTGTCCAATTTTCTGAACACCATTTATTGAATAGACTGACTTCAGCCAAGTGTATGTTCTTGCCTCCTTTGTAAAATACTAATCGACCATAAAGATGTAGTTTTATTTCCGGGATCTCTATTCTGTTCCATGGTCTATATATCTGTTTTTATGCCAGCACCATGCTGTTTTGATTACATGTAGTATATTTTGATATCAGGTAGCATGATTCCTCCAACATTGTTTTTCTTTCTCAAGATTGCTGTGGCTATTCAGGGTAGAAGAGCCACGTATAAATTTGTGATCCCATATAAATTTTTGAAATATTGTTCTAGTTCTGTGAAATACACCATTGATAACTTGATAAGAATTGCATTGAATCTATCGATTGCTTTCATTAGTATGGACATTTTGGTGATGTTAATTCTTCCTACCCATGAAAATGGTATATGCTTTCACTTATTTGTATCTTTTTATCTTTCTTCAGTGTCTTATTATTTGATGAGCACAGGGTTTTTTTAACCATGGTTAAGTTTATTCCTAGGTATTTTTTAATGCATTTTTAAATAGGATTGTTTTCTTGGTTTCCATTTTGATAGTAAATTATTGGTGTATAGAAATGCAACTGGTCTATGGTGATACCACCCTGAACACACCCGATCTCGTCTGATTTCAAAAGCAAAGCAGGGTTGGGTCTGGTTAGTACTTGGATGACAGAAATGCAACTAATTTCTGGATATTTATTTTATATTGTGCTGCTTTACTGAATTCATTTATCAGTTCTATCAGACTGGAGAGGAATATTTAGGGTTCTCTATTACAGTATCATGTCATGTACATATAATGACAGTTTTACTTCTTCTGTCCAATTTGGATGCCTTTTGTTTCTTCTTTTGCCTGATTGCCATGGTTAGGATTTCCAATATTATGTTTAATGAAAGTGGTGAAAGTGAAAATCTCTGTCTTGGTCCTGATCGTAAGGGAATACTTTAATTTTTGCCCTTGAGTATGATGTTGGCTATGGGTTTGTCATGTATGGTCTTTACTGTATTAAGGTATTTTCCTTCTATTCTCATTTTGATGAGAATTTTTATCATAAGTGGGTGCTGGATTTTATCACATACTTTTTCTGCATCTATTGATATGATCATTGGATTTTTACACTTCATTCAGTTTATTTGGTGAATCACATTTATTGATTTGTGGATATTGTACCAACCTTGCATCCCCAGAATAAATCCCATCTGACCATGGTGTATGATCTTTTTAAAGTATTGCTAGTTTGCTAATATTTTGTTGAGGATTTTAGCATCTATGTTCATCAGGTTATTGGCCTATAATTTTATTTCTTTGTAATGTCTTTATCTGGATTTGGAATTAAAATAATTCTTGCCTTGTAAAATGAGCTGGGAGTCTTTCCTCCTTTGAATTTTTGGAATAGTTTGAGAAGGATAGATGTTAGTTCTTATTTGGATGTTTGGTAATATTTCCTTGTGAAGCCATCTAGTTCAGAGCTTTTGTTTGTTGGGAGTTTTTTGATTACTGCTTTAATTTCACTAGTTGTAATCTGTCTCTCCAGATTCTCTGAATCTTCCTGATTTCATTTTGGAAGATTGTAAGAAATTTATCCATTTCTACCATATTATTCAATTTGTTGGTATATAGTTGTTTATAATATTTTCTTATACTCTCATATTTCTGTGGTATCCATTGTTACTTCTGCCCTTTCATTTCTGATTTTACTTATTTGAGTCCTCTCTCTTTTTTTCTTGATGAGTCTGGTTAAAGGTTTGTCAATCTTGTTTGTCTCTTCAAAGAACCAGCTCTTGGTTTCATTGATATTATATTGCTTTTTTAGACTTTATATTGTTTATTTCTGCCCTGATCTTTATTAATTCCTTCCTTCTACTCCCTTTGGGCTTTGTTTGTTGTTCCTTTTTAAGCTTGCAGATTGTTTAACTGCAATTTTCTTGTTTGTTGGGGTATGCTTGTACGGTATGAATTTTTCCTCTTAGGACTGCTTTTGCTGTGTCCCATATAGTTTGGGTTGTTTTGTGTTCATTTTCATTTGTTTCAAGGTATTTTTTTATTTCTTCCTTGATCTCATTGTTAAACCCAATGATTGTTTAGTAACATGTTATTTAG